TGGATTGGACCAATCCGTCAAGGATTAAGCAAACGGTGACTGGAACACACTTGATAATATCTGTGAAGAAACTAGCTTAATGTCTTAGTTAGATTCAAGGAACTTAATAGCCTTTTAGCTGCAGGAGATATGTGGCTTTATACATCAGCAGGAACATATTAGCTGTGGATACAGACATAGATGAGATGCTTGGACATATTTACTTGTTTTTGAAAGATCAGCTTCAACTTTCCACTATGCCTGCTTCAGGCATTTTGCATGGAACCCTGATCGGTAAGCTAGGTTGGTATGCATTTGACTCTGCTTAAAGAATACCAAAATGATCATTGCTAATGACATTTCATCTTATATTCTTGTGCAGACCAACTGAGTGTTTGTGGCAAATCGAAAGAAGAAGCTGATGAGCTTGCTACAAAGATCTGGCTGGCTCTTCTCGACAATTTAGAGGACACTAAACATACTTTCATCGTGCTGAAATCAATCGCACAAGAATATGATGTAAGAAAGGAAAATAATGTCCACTAACCTTTCAAAAATCTCTTTTTTCTTGTAGAAACTAACTCTCTAAGAGATACAGGGCTTTCTTCCATATCCATATTCAAGACCGATCAAAATCCAGTGGAAGGTGTTTGAGAAACTGTTTGTGGATTTCCGCGACTTGCTTGATCATTCAGAGTATTGCGACCTAATAGGAATTGCCAAGAAGAAGTTTCAAACAATACCTTATGTTTGGTTAGGCTATTAAACTTACTTGTACATAAGACATCTAAAGTCTGCATCTTGTAAAAAAGAAAGACGTATAAAATGCAGATTCTTGGCCATGTATAATTCGTGGTTAGTTTTAAAGCAAAAGTCAAACGTTTTGTTGACTATTTTAACTTCTTCGTTACTTGCTAAGTTCTGTTATCCACTTTATTCTTCTTCTTCTTGGAAATGGGTCTCATGAAAGTAATGACGATTCTGGTTCTCTTCGTCTCGGTGTCATCGACCTTGGCGCAATCCAACAATGGCGGTCACATTTCGATACTCGTCTCGGAAATGGGTCTTGACTTTGCGAAAGATTACCTTATCAAGAAAGTGATCACTGTGACGCTTCCGCTTCAGCTACCAGACATTGAGAATAAGGTTAAGATCCCTTTAATCGGGAAAGTTCGAATGGGTCTATCGAATATTCAGATTGATGCAGTTCATGTCCAGTCTTCGAAGATCGAGACGAGAAAAGATGGAATTGTTTTGAGTGTTTTAGGTGCTACAGCAAATTTGAGCATGGACTGGTCTTATACTTATAGAGCTTCCTTCTTTGAGATTTCTGATCATGGAGATGCTTCTGTCGAGGTAAAACTCTGGAAAAGTGTTGTGCTTTTGAAGTGGGTTTTTGGTTCATGTTCTGAAACTATCGAAAACCAAATTGGGTCTTTTTAGTTCTGTTTGTGTTCATCTCATTTTCTCTTGTTCAGACATTGTTTAGCTTAACAGGTGAATGCTTCTGATGATGAAGGTTAAAGGAATGGATTTGAAAATCACTGCCACTTTGGTTAATGATAATGGAAGTCTAAAGATTGTATCACGAGAAAATGATTGTACAGTGGAAAATATTGATATTCATATCAATGGTGGTGCTTCTTGGCTATATCAAGGGTATTATTAAATGTTACATAAGTTTTCGTATCTCTAATCTCTTTATTCCAAGATTAGAAAGAAAAGATGAAGAAAGTTTATTTAGTTTTCTTTTTGCAGGGTGGTTGATGCATTTCAAAAGATGATTATATCTACTGTTGAAAAGACTGTCTCTACTAAAATTGTAGAAAATATGAAGAAGCTCGATTCTTTCTTGCAATCACTTCCAAAACAGAGAAAGATTGATGACGCTGCTGCAGTGAATCTCACTTTTACAGGCAACCCTGTCTTAGGGAATTCGTCGGTTGAAGTTGACATTAATGGTTTATTCTTGCCAAAGGGTGATGATGTTAAAGTTTCAGGATCTCGTTCTTCTTCCGTCTTTGGTGGGGTAAAGAGAATGGTGACAATTTCAGTAGAAGAAGAAGTTTTCAACTCTGCAACACTTGTCTACTTCAATGTAAGTTCTCAAATCTTGATATAGACTGATTGATGAGTATGGTGGAACAAGAAAGTTTGTAATCTTGTAGGATTGGTTTTGATCCAGGCTCAGGTGATGCATTTAGTATCGG